CAAAATAAAACAACAATTAGTTGAAATTATAGCAGGCAAACACAATGAAAAGGTTTGCTAAAGGAGTACTAAGATTATATGCCAGCCTAATATTTTTAAATAGTGTGTTTCTTTGCACTAATTTTAATAAACATGTTGTGGTAATAAAATGAATCCATCTACAGTAGACTCCCTCTTATCCGGAATCCTCAGGACAAGGCCAGTCCGGATAACGGTTTTCCGGGTAAACTGACGTACCCAAAAACTTGTTATGTAACCCAAATATTTGACTTAAATTTAGGAGAGTATTGTATTTAGACACGCCCACGAGAACAGTCGTTTCAGTACTGCTCGCTTCCTGCCTATCTACTCCGGTTATACCGATGTGCTGATAAAAATTGTCCGGTTAAAGAGATGTAATTTCCGCCGAGTGTAGTCCGGTTAAACCAATGTCCGGTTAAAAGGTGTCCGGATAAGAGGGAGTCTACTGTAGCATGAGACTTTGTTATAACCTAGATAGAGGCAATTATATTACATCTCCATTGTTTTCTATTTGTTACCAAAAAGTGTTTTTTAATAGTGCAGTATATGAAGTAGTGGTGGTGGTAAACCATCAAATAGGTTACCTTATACTTGATGTTAGTTTTTTTTTTTTACTTTATTATAATTTTCTAAGGTTGTTAGAGAACTCAAATAGTCTTGTTACTACCTATCTAACTTAAACATTCTTTAAATAGCATAATTAATTGATAGCTTAACGATAAATGGCATCCGTGGTGGGAATAAATCCAGCAACACCCGAATTTTAAATCAATCCTTGCTAACGTTTTTTAGCAACTAACTGTTTCTCTTAACAATGGTTTGTTTGCTACAGCTGTGCACACTGTGCTGAATGATCTGCTGCCACCCAATGTCTATTACCGTTTCAACCCTTACGTAACGGAGATCGTCTCCATGGACGAGATCAGGCCGGAGAAAATCAACAGGTTGGAGCTAGACGCGTTGATGTACTACCGACGAAACGAGGAGAGCTTCAAGGAGGCAGCTGATGCGCTTACAAAACCAAAGACAACCACTCAGAAATGTCAGGACTATTTGGACCTGCAGGCAACAATGTTAGGGCTGAAATAAAGGGATAAACTAGTAAATAAAGTGGTCCAAAGTATTGTTAACATTCCACAATAGGGTTATGTAATAAGGTTACATCGCAATAATTGACAATTGCGATAAAAAAATCTAAGATTACTTTTTTTAATGCAATTTTCTTTAATTTTATTTAAAGTTATAAGAACACCGACTTATTAGCTATCTAATGAACATAATATATAGAGCTATAGTTAAATGATCAGTTAAAGTTGTCTGGGTTAAAGTTGTCGCCTTCAAAATCACAGCTTCTTCCCCATAGGGAAAATTTGTAGAAGTACAGAACATGATTTTGCTAGTTATATGGCATATTGGTTAGCTCAGCTATTTGTTAGCCAAATTATACTTGTTGATTCGCAATGTCGATATTCTTTAACTTTTATCACTGTTAGATAACATAACTGCATTATCATATTATCAATGGGGCTGTTGATTACTTGTGCTTTTTATAGAAAGGTCAATGTTGGGTGGATGCAAAACACAGTTAAACTGCTGACTCATTTTACCAATGATAAAAATAATCATAGCAATTAAAAAAAAAGGTTTTAATCAAATAGTAATAGTAGTCTAGCTAAATACGCTTAACGCAGATTCTTGTAAAATAATACACCCACCTTGAAAAGTATAATTTAAAAATGCTTCATTATGAAAAAGTCTATAAAATCTTATTATTCCTGGAGCAAAGTAAGTGTAATGTTTTCTGTTTCAAAAGCAATACCAAAAGAGTTCCTTGTAAAAATGTTATTGTATAGTTTTCAACTAAAAAAACAAATCTCTAATAACTAGAATAAATGTGTTTAAGTAATAGTTTATAGTTGAAAACTATATATTTACTTGCCTAATTAAACATTTTGCTATATTTGTTAGTTTCCACTTTTTTATTTTTATTTTCTGTTAATACTATGAGAGAATATGTTGTTCATTTATTTTATTTCTGGCTTTTCTTAGCTGATCATGTCATTCAATTTAGAGAGCCTAGAATAATGTGTCAATCTGTGCTGAGTACAAAAGTACAATAAGTTATCTGTTTCTCTTAGTGATACATTTGACACATCACTTAACAATTATTTATTGTAGGTGGCTGTGAAAACAATGTGTAAACAGTCTTATTAGCTGTTTTACTCCCATCATGCAGTATTAAGAACCAAAAGTTTAACATCACTATCACTAATCCCCTTCTTCCCTTTGTGCTTTCTAAAGTGTGAAATATGTTTGATTTTAGACAGAAGCATTTAATTTTTTTTCCTTTGATAAAAATATATCTGTTTACTTTTGAACTAGTAGGTGAAAGATCTATTTTAAAATTTAGGTATACAGACAAAAATATAATTTTATCAGAGCATAAACACTGTTTTTTTAAGTTTATGTACGATTTTATCTCCTTAGTTAACTATTGTAAATTCTTTAGAACATTCAATTATTATTTTCTAGTCAGTAGAGCTTTTAGAGATCTATAAAATTTTGTGATAGTAGTTTTATTGAGTATTCACGAAACTTCAATTCTAAGGTGATAATTCGTTCTTTATTTCTATAATGTAAATATTTGTCTATATTGTAATTTTGTACACTGTTTGACAAATACACCTATTTAAATATTCTTATTTATTAATTTTCCATTCAACCTTTAATCACCCTAGGTATTTAATAGTATGGTGTATGATGGTGGCTCATCACCAAGGTGAAAAGCTACTCTTTTTTGCCTGTGTGATAAACTGGAGCCACTCATCCTACACTCATCTCCATTCATACTTGGCTTAAAATACTTACTTTGTATGGTCGCCATTTCATTGAAAAGTATTAAAGTATACATTTTGTCATATTGCAACATTATTTTACAAACTTTAAGTGAGGAAACAATTTTGTTTATGCAAATTAGGAGCTGTTAAGTACTTTATTCAATCATTTATTCTATAACGACTGTTTACTGTACATTATACCATCGATATATTGAAATATTTACAAGAATGCAACAAAATAAGAAATTCGGAATTTCTATACAAGCCATTGCTTACACAGTGGAAATTCACAACAGCAGAATTTTACTCCCTAGGGACTAAAAAGGCTTTCTAATGCTGTGTGACGAAAAATTTATATTTAGTTATGGTTTTTGTATAGATGTTGGGGGTGTTTGTGCTTGGGGAGAGGCCCGCATGAAATAAACTGCAGGCAGTGAAGTGAGAAGGTCTGAATTGTACCTAGATTTAAGATTATGTCAATTTTATGAAAAAGTAAAAATGAGTAAGTAAATTATATTAATATCGTAAATTTGTTATTATTGTGAGAATACTACTCTTTTGGTAGTAAGAGGCCCCCTCTGAATGTTAACATAGGGGGCCATGCACCACCTATTGCTGGCTCTGGGCTCAGGTGGAATGTAATGAGAAAGGGTGGATTATTGTTATTCCTTGTAAGTTGTATTGTAACACAAGTAAGCATTTTGCTTGTCCATTACTTTGTGTCTCCTTAAACACTTTTTTCACTACAAAAATAGCACGGCCACCTTTAACTACAGGCCGCGGCCTGGTAGAATTGGCAACGTCGCAAGTGGTGTTGTCTAGCACCAGACGCCCCATAAGATAACATGGTAGACAGGTGATACCAGCTCATTATTTCGTGTATCATTCATTAAAATTAAAATTTATGAACATAAATTTATTAGATTGAAAATAAAACATATAGAATTGAAAACCAAAACAATATTTAAATTGAAAATATATTTTTGTGCATTAAATTGGAGTCAATATTTTCATAGCCCAGTAAACAAGCTTTTGTACAGTATTCTTAAAAAATACACAAATTACCATTTAGCCGGTTCCAAACAAAACAGGTGTTTCAACCCTACTTGCGATGTTGCCACTTCGAAGGCCGGGGCCTTGAGTTAAAGGTTGCCGTGAAAAATAGTCTAAGTCTCAAACGACAAAAAAAAACGGCAATATGGAAAATAGATGTGACAAAAACATTAAAAACACAATTTAAACAATACAAAAACAATATATAATAATTTAAAATTAAATAACAATATAATATATAAATTGATGAACACGAAAGTTATACACCTAACGAAATATATAATCAATGCATCTTATGTAAAATATAGAAAACACCGTCCACTTACTAGCCTACTAAATAACTATACTACTGTCATTGACTATGAATTAAGGATTCATAGTCAATGCTACTGTTCTTTGATATGGGCTTGGTCGCAAAATCTCACAACATAACTAACTCAACAACTGAAACTGAACTGACCGGTGGGGCACACGGAAGATTTTTCAGGTGCCGTTTGACGTCACTAACTACTGACGTCACTAACTGCTGCGTCTGAAGAAACAGACAATTTTATAATTTTCTATTATTAAATTAAACTGTCATAACCTAACCAAACTAACCAAACGTGCTGATAATGGAAAAATCGAATAAAGGTTTACTAATCTAAAACATAGTTTTGTTCATAAAATAAAATTATAATTGCCTAAAATTCAATTTTATAATTTTTTAATTATAAAATTAAACTGTCATAACCTAACCAAACCAACCAAACTTGCTGATATGAAAAAAATGTTGATAAAAAGTAAGTACCGCCGGCGGGATTCGAACCCGGAACATTCGGATTATCAGCCCGCAACGCTATCCACTGCACCACAGAGGCCGATGGCTCTAACCGTATCGTTGCGGTATTGGTTTTCCCTCAAAGTGACGTCAGCAGTTAGTGACGTCAAACGGCACCTGAGAAATCTTCCGTGTGCCGTTTCGCTGAACCGACTAACTGAGTGTCAACTGTCAACTAACTGTCAACTCACACACAAGCACACAAGTCACATTCAAAAATCAAACAAAAGCGATGATAACCCTTAACATTCTGTTCTGTTTGTTTACCATGTTCATGTAGGTAGGCTAGGCTTTTGGTAGGTAATATAGGTTGGTGTATATCTAATCTTATCTCTTCGAGTCTCTGATAATTTTACATTTTGTCAATTACAGTCTGCAGTAAGTACTAATTTTACCAACATAATTTGATTAAGTTTGATTGCATGTAAATGTTAACAACAGTGTTAAACAGTTTGTTTCTAGTGTTTATCGTTGTTTATGATGACTGTTGTAAATCTAAGCCTGACACCAGTTCGAAATTTATTTGAATAAAAATAAGCCCAATGCATTTAGGCTAAACACTTTGTTCTCTGACCTTTAAACAATTGTCTAAAGAATAGAGTAAACTTAAATATTACTACCGTAGGTACCTAAGTTAGTTATACCTAAGGGAGTATGTTTTATCTATGGTTATACCCTATGCATTATCAGGCCTAGTCCTATTTTCAAAGTTCTTTTGTTAGAAGTGGTTTATGGAAATAGGCCTACTTGATACTTGTATCCTTCATCAATGACTGCCAATATTGGATGGATCAGGTCAAATGGCTGCACTTTACTTTAGGTCCTACACTCGACTCATTCGAATGAAAATATCGATTATTCGATTGTTTCATTCGATATATTATTGTTCGATTGTTTCAATCGAATGAAACAATCGATTAAACGATATATCGATCGATATTTTCAATCGAATGAGTGTAGGACCTAAAGTTAAGTGCAGCCGGTCAAATTATATTTGAAACACTAGGCAAACTATTTAGGTAAATATAAAAAAAAACGTAAACGCTGTGGCGTAAAATGAAACGTTCGGGGGGTCTCACGTAACTTCTTGGGGCTCTTCACTCCAGCTCCTCCAGCAAGCACAGCCTCCTGGGGCATGGCCTTTTTACCAGGCTGGGTAATTATTCCGTACAGGTGCCTCCAAACGAATTTTTAATTTTGATATCTTACTTTATAGTTTTTTACCTCCTGAATCCAAATATACCATTAATTTTCACCGCTGATGAATATTTCTCAAGATATCGCCATAGAAACATACTTAACATTACAATAAACAAGGTAGGATGGATGACATTTACAAGTGGAATGTACGATGGGTTAAGTAAACCAACCAGCTGATTGTTTTCAATCATAGTCAAGCAAATGGAAGTGACAACTTTAGTTAGCTAACTCTGATTCTGCAATATGAAAATCACCTGATTAAGTTACACTTTTCACTTTCTAAGACCAATAAGTTAATAATGTATTATTGTTTCCAGTATTTTATCCTTATTAATGATTTATTGATTTATATTTCGCCGTTTAGAAATTACATACTAAAATGGTGCTATTCTAACATAACCTAACCTAACCAAACCTCTAGAATGTGTAAGCAAACTCCTTTTGATGTCAGAAAAGGCATGTCAGGGTGATAGGTCGTGCTTTATGTGAATTGGTGACTGCATTAAGTCCTTTGAAGGTAGGTTAGATTAGGTAAGTTAAAGTTTAGGTTATAATGTATCGAGTTGTTATATTGCAAGCATTTTTGAAATAGTAATTTGAAGTGTTTTTCTCAGGATTTTAATTGTACAAAAACAGTCTGCAGGCGACATAAACTAACAACTCGATACATTATAACCTAAACTTTACCTTCCTAATCTAACCTAACTTCAAAACACTTAATGCAGTCACCAATTCACATATAGCACGACCTACCACCCTGACATGCCTAAATAAGAACTACGAGTAATTAGTCCATTATTCCATCTATATCTCCATAATGTGACGAAATTCCTATTGTAGAAAACATTTAAGTTATTGACTATAGAATCACTTGATATGTTTCTACAAAGCTAAAGCACGGCCGCCTGCGGCCGTGGTTAAAGGCGGCCGTGTCTACAACGATGTTATTATCTTTAGTCAACGATGTTATTCTTCTCATCAACCATGTTACTCTCTTCACTTAACTTAATCTGAACAATCAGCTGTAGGCCTAAGTAGGCTTAAGGCTTAGTTAACCTACAGTTCATTCCACTTGTAAATGTCATCCATCCTACCTTGTTTATTGTAATGTTAAGTATGTTTCTACGGCGATATCTTGAGAAATATTCATCAGCGGTGAAAATTAATGGTATATTTGGATTCAGGAGGTAAAAAACTATAAAGTAAGATATCAAAATTAAAAATTCGTTTGGAGGCACCTGTACGGAATAAATACCCCAGGCTGTTTCAAATTGCCGCTTCGAAAGAGGTTTCAGTTATTCATCTCTCTTACCTTCCCTGCCAAAAGGTGTTAAGAGCCTTATATGGCATTGAAGGAATACCGCCGTTAAAGGTGAAATTAAATTAAATATTAAATTAAGGGTGCGGGTGAGATGACATCGTGGCATATCAAGGTGTTGGACTTGCCAAGTATCATACTGGTGGGTGTAAGTTACTTATCTTCTGTCAAATATATAGACAATCTCTTTCAGAAGTGTAGGGTAACTTAAAGATGTCTTAACACCTAATGGCTATAGACAATTAATCTTTATTTACACATTCATTAAGAATAGTAGTACCGTCAACAATGTTATAAACTAAATTGGCTAACTTAAATAAAAATAAATTAAATGATTTACATAGTACTTAGTAAGTTAATAGATTTACATTAGGATTCGGTACAATGCAGAACAGTACCACCGAGGGTCTATAAGTTAAGTCTTAGTATGGGCCTACTGTAATAAATAGGCTAATGTGGAAACTAATAAAAATAAATATTTTTCTCTGGTTTCAGTTACCGGTAAGTTAAACTTAATTAATTAAGCCTACCTAACTTAACTTATATAGCTAATAAAAACATTCAATTTTAGGTTGCTGCTACAAGTTGCTTCCTCTTGGTGCCATAACTTAATGAGTTAAAAGATTAGAGGTGGAGCTAGTTACTAATGTAGCCTATAGCTATTATCAAGTGACATGAAAGGCTATGGGCTGGCTCTCAGTCAATATTGTATTTCTATTGGACTTTTGTGTGTTTTTCTATACCTCTACGGGTTTTTCCCAATCAAGAAATCATCTGACGTCTTCTCATCGGAACATGATCTTCCAACTTCTCTGCAAGATGTCAGGTAAGATTAGCCTACCAAAAGCTAGTAGGCCTATTTAAATGCCAATTGTAACTTATCATAACATAAACTCTTCAAGAAACTCAGACTAGTTCCTATTTAAATTTGGCAGATATGGCCGATGTTGATTTTTTTAAATCTGTATTTTCCATTAAAAAATGCATTATAAGCGATTCTAAGCATCACATAGCTTCTAATCTACTCTTCTACTCTCATAGTGTTTATGATAGTGATGACAAAATGGAGACTTTTTGGTACTTTCCAGGTAACTTAAGGGAACATTCATTATTATCGATTATTTTTTTGATATGTCAAAGTTATTGTTTTCCTTTACGATACATATTCCTTACTGTTTTAATAACTTCAAACGAATTTAAATTACAAATTGACAACTCATCCTGCTTAGGCAAAATGATACATATATATATGCAATTGAAACTGTTCCAAACTAACCTAACATAACTAACCAAACTTGCTGCACCATTTCAAAATTGTGGGGAATATCAAACAGAATTTTAAAAATGGTACAGCAAGTTTGGTTAGTTTAGAACAGTTTCATTTTAAGACGTAATGTTTTTTTATTAATTTGATTGTTTGTTGATACTGAATAATTTATTTATCGTAGTTGTCAGCTGAAATGTTTCAATTTGTTAATACTGATAAATTGGATCAAAAATTAAAATATCGATAAATTGTAAAAAATCATCGATAATAATGAAGGTTCCTTTTAACAGGTACTGACTTCTTCAGGCCAACATTTTAAAGAGTAATAAGCTGCTATCTTATATAACTAAACCCTTAAAAATATAGTCACTGCCAAAGAAATCTGGAATGTTTCTAAGGAGCCAGATTCGCCTTGTAACAATGAAACAGAAATTTTGTCAATTGATAATTAAGAACATTGGTTCTGGTAACTGTATACAGTAATAGCCTGTACAGGTAAGTTAACTACACGAGGGGCAAATTTGTCTAAGTTTTAACTGCCAGATTATTCATTGTAGTTGGCCAAGAGCTGTTTAATGTAATAAAGGACAAACCAAATTTTCCTGCACACCTTTGACTCGTCCTTGTAGTTGATGACCTGGGTTTTGGCTTCTTACAAGTCCTGATTTAAGATCATTTTTTGCTTTGAGCCAAAAGCAGTGTAATTAACTCACTAGATTAGGAGTCTATGAGCTATGGCACAGCATTTTGTGTGTATAAACTGAGAATTTGAATCCATTTTTTGCGTCAACCACTGTCAGTTTGAGATAGCTTCAAGAAACCTTTCTCTACTTTGAAGAGGAATCTTCAGTAACTTAGCTAGGATTTTCTCAACCTGGCTATGATGGCTACAATGAAGATTACCCTGTGAGAATACTATATTCTGATTTTAGATTCAACAAAGAGAAGTTGTACAACGGCAGTGCCTCCAAGACTGTCCTGATGGTTATTGATGGTGTGAGAGTTGACTTTATAACACAACAGAACATGCCTTACACAGCTGAGGTGTTGAGGAGAGGAGGGGGTTGTCAAATGACTGCTAGGGTGGCTGCTCCTACTGTCACTCTGCCCAAGATAAAGGTGTGTAGATAAGCTTTTGTGTGCCTTTTACACAGTGTTTTCCCAACCTTTTTCCTGGCGTACTACTTCAGAGAGCATATCCTGACATAATACTCAAAGTAGTTTTTTGATAGAAGATTGTTGCCGGCCTCATTTTAAGTTGAGGTTTAAGCTATCTGACCAGAAGGGTAGAACAATGTCCAATGGCTAGGCAGGCCTTTGGAGTAATCCTGTTAGTCAAGCCTCACTGAATACACCGCTTAAAAGTGGAAATGTAGCCTGATGCAAAATTTTAAAATTCATTAAAATCGATCAAATTTATTTGTGGGGTTAGCTTACATAAAAATAACTCAATTCAATTAAACCTCTGCCTCTGACTATTAAAACATTAAACTATAGGCCTAGCACTTGAACTGACAATATTTTTTGTAGGAATGGTTTTTCATAAGTTACATACACCGTCTGTTATTCTTATCCTGGACTAGTTTTTCATGTTCTACATCAAGGCCTACTGATTGTCATGAAGCTGTTTTCCAGGCTATTGTTACAGGAAGTGTGTCAGGCTTCATAGATGTTGTCCTCAACCTGGGCACAGTGGAGTTAATATCCGACAACATTGTAAGCCAGTTCACCAAGTCCAAGCGAGCTGTGTTCTATGGAGATGACACTTGGGTCAAACTATTCCCTCGTCAGTTTAAACGGACTGATGGAACTTCGTCTTTCTTTGTCAATGACTATACTGAGGTAATATTTATTATTGGTTACAATTTCATTCATAGTTTTTTTATGTTAAGAAATGGTTTTTAATTTCACAGGTAGGCTACTTAACAGTTAGTAAAAAGTTACATTTTTACTGTACGAACCTACCTCCTTATGAATATTCCTAAGATTAATTATTCCTGAGGGAAAAATCTTCTATTTTCTTTTATTCAGATTCACTTAATGTTTTAGTCATTGGAACCTAAAAAAGTAACGAGCTCTGACTGCAGCCTTACCATTCCACCTCCAGCAACAGTGCTGTGATTGAAGTTTGTTTTTGGTGATGGTGCGGTCATGATATTTTAGGGATTATTTATTGCGCACATGTTTTCCTTCACAATTAATAATAGGAACAATAAAATTTGAAATTGTCTGTAACGATCCATCAAGTAATACAATAGGCTAACAGATTTTTTTAAGCGGAGATTTTTTTTATTTGTAGTTTGATAGCTTGTTTATGTTGTAGGTTGATGACAATGTGACACGTCATCTAGACAGAGAACTGTCCATGTCCGACTGGGACCTGATGATTCTTCATTACCTGGGACTGGACCACATTGGCCACATCCAGGGTCCCAAGAGCTCTCTGATACAACCCAAGCTCAGGGAGATGGACGGAGTAATAAAACAGCTTCATAACCACTTGTTGAAACAGGTAATTGATTTCTTTAGCTATCAAAATGGTGAATATTGTATACCTTTTCAATATGTTAGCAATAAGAGTTTTTTTTACAGGAAAAGTTAATTCAAGATGAGTAGTATATTTTTTACATACAACTAGCAATGTGTCTATAGTCTGTACTACAATTAATTGCAACAATGATACTGAGTGATTGGAAACGGTCTGTTAATTGTATGTTAATTTTGTATGGGACAACAACTTTTAATATTTGAATAATTGTCTCCTATAGTTCATGGCCGAGTGTGTATTCATTAACAGCACTCCTACGGGTTTCCTTTTACATTGTCGAGTCAAGTGAGAAAATCACAATTCTGGAAAATGATAACAATTTTACCGTAATTGCAGGGAACGATCATGGATGTTGCTGTGATCATTGATGATGTTGTAGCCGAGATTGCAATATATGTTCACTAATGCTGACACAATCACTTTTCCAATGTTTCGGTGGTTTACTTTTTTGGTTTAGGTTTAGATAGATGAATAATATTAGTGAATTAACTAGACGGCAACCACCTTGTTTGCCGTTCTCAGTTGCAGCACCTGCAACTTACTCTGTGCCTGGCAAGTAGCTTTCATTGTCAGACTGTGCTGCTAATAGGTCTCTGTCGTGTTGGTACCAAAGCACAGCCTACCAGAACAGACATTTACAGGTTAAGTGTAAGAAAGGGCCATGTGGCCCTAACTTTGCCTGTATAAATAAATGATTTTTCATTTCATTTCATTTCATTTCATTACATTTAAACAACGGTTCTTCATAGGCCTACTGGTACTTTTCCCTAGAAGCTTTTTCATACCACAAATTTTGTTGAACTAGCAATGAAAAACAATCTACCAGTCATTATTAAAAACTTAGACACAACCTCTCTGCCATGTTTTAGGAGCAAGGAGTGCTGATGGTCTGTGGTGACCATGGTATGAAGGACTCCGGCAGTCACGGTGGAGTTTCTCTACCTGAAGTGTTGGTGCCTGTCATAGTCCTAGGACTACCTTGTGTCACAGAATCAACGTAAGTAATGATAGGCGTTATTTTGTTACTGTCACAATTAATTCATAGTAGAAAAAGATTAGTTCAACTTGTTCAGAATTTAAACAAAGCTGGGAATACCGAGTAACGTCCAAAAATAGGTGTTATCATAAAAATTGCTAATATTACTTACGGAATCAGGGTAATTGTCTGACTTTGGTATTTTTTTCACCTTTTAACATCAGGCACCTTCAAACTATTCTGAATGTGTCTGGAAGGCGTATTTTATTGTACCTCTTGGGCTAATGCCGGAATATCCGGTTCTCCTATATAAACTCTGATAGTTTATCCGTTCGCCTATGAATTTTAAGATTTTCGGTACGATTTAAGTGATCTAAATCTATTTACAATCTTCAATGTGTTTCACAGCCAAGAAATTCTACAGGTTGACCTTGCCGCAACGTTGAGTGTGCTGTGGGGCAGTCCTATACCAGCTGATAACATTGGTGTGGTGACTCTTCCATTACTCTCCCAGCTGACTGTGTCTCAGCGACTTTACGCTCTACTGCACAACGCTCTACAGCTGAGTGGGAACTTCCTGCGCAATGGCGGCGACACCACTCACGGTCAGACGACTTGGTAGTGCTTCACTGTTAGGTTGCAACTTGGATATTGCATTGGGTACAGTTACAAGAATCAATGTAGCAGTGAATAGGTACAATAAACAATAGAGTCTTTTGAGTCTGGAATTAGAAACCGTTATATTTGCTAGGATTAACAAGTTAAGAATATAAGAAAGAAAGTGGCATTTTACCGCAGTACTCTGTCTTTAGTTAGGTAATTTTTTATTCAAAAATTTGCTTGAAACTTAAACATGGAGATAGTTTTTTTTACTTAATTATAGTTTATTATAGGCAAAGCTCCAACTTAGTTGTCAGCTTCTGTATGTGTATTATATGTTAGTAGTGATGGGCCGATTCCGATTCTCGATTCCAAAATACTCTCGATTCCGCCGGAATCGAATCGAGCATTCGATTCGAATCTCCGTGGGTTTGGGATCGATTCCGACTCTCTTCGATTCTTTGATAAAATTGGTTAAAATCAGCCATAAGCGTCATATAAAGCAACAAAGAAACAAAATAAATTCAGATTGCTAATGATTTGCTTGCAACTCTGAGCAAACAACAAGTCCTGGTCGTATCGTCACTAACTCAGCGAGACTAGAGCGAGCGTATTGCAAAAATAATAGATGCGAACTCAATACAGAGGCTTAGTAGCCTACAATGAGAAACAGTTAACAGATGGGAATTGGAGATTCGGGCAAACTGGACTGGAGCGAGTAAGCATTGCGTCACAGCTCACAAGACATACAAGGAAAGGGATGAGCATCGATTTAGATTTAGATCAACCAGTGGTACCAAGGCTACTAACCACGAATACTAGAAAAGTAGAAAAATACCGGTATGGATCATAAACATAAACAAATGACATTTTTGGCCCGAAAATACACATTATTTCACATTGCTTAAATGGAACTGCCAAAACATACGTTCAATACTATTCGTAGAGGATTCGGGCCAACAACGTCATTTGTTTATGTTTATGATCCATACCGGTATTTTTCTAGTATTGGTGCTACTAACTGAATCATTGCATCGCTACATCGATGTTATCAGTAACCGATAACATCGTTGGTGAGCTGAGCTACCATTCATTACCAAAGTATAACAAAACACTTCGTATTCGGTCCCGAAACGCCACTACTCAACGAGACTAGAGCGAGCGTCCTTTTTATATAGCCTAAAAGCGACTTGAGCTTGGGAATATAATTTTGTACAGTGAATTGGAAGGTTTTAACAACCTATAAATGTTCAAGTGCGCGAAATTGTAAATAAACTTGTTTAGTGTTGCAATCAACGGGTAAATCTTCGAACACTGGGTATTTTAATGGCCGATAGGCAGAGTAGTTTTGCAGGTTCCGTTATTGTCTGCCAACAGTGGCAACACTGATAAAGTGAAAAATACTTAAATGCTCCAGTACGGACGGCATCAACAAATCGTATTGTTGTGAAATAGTAACTTGTCAATTTGTAAGATCAACTTTAACCCCAAAAGTAAAACGTATTGAGCTTGCCTTGTTTTTAGTTATCGTGATTGTTAGTTTGTATTATTGTTAGGTTTAACTTATTTGGACAAACAAAAATCATGTCTAGAAGGTCATGTCAGATACCAAATATTAATATTATTGATCTATTGCTTAAGCTGTACAATTAATTATGTTTTTGTTTCAACTAGGCCTACTCCTAGAAGTTTATATAAGGTTAGGTTAGGTTGTATATAAATTAAAAATCAAGAATTGGATAGGGGCTGATTTTTTATAATGATAATGAATGATTTTTTATAGTACATATAAAAGTTATTTTATAATATTCTATAGCTAGTATTCTACATATAGATAACATGCTTGGTAAGCTTGTACTGATATCACAATTTTAAGCACATTCATAAAACATAATTGAATTTGGAATCGGAATCGAGATTCGAATCTCAAATTTAAGAATCGGAATCGGAATCGAGAAATTTCGGAATCGGCCCATCACTATATGTTAGTTAACTACAAATTGGTGAAACGGCTCAGGCTATTGAGTCCTAAATGTAATTTTCATCCAGGAATCGTTATTTCCTAATGTTATGTACATGAGGAATCAGCAGTTGCAATGCCGATTCCTGCCTTCTGCTTATCTCATTGTTTGATTTAACACTTCAGTTATTCTCTTGATGTCTACTTGGATTCGCATCACTAACATTTCTAGATCAGGCTTTTCTCCAGCTCTGTTTGTTAACAAACTATTGTACTGCACTGTTGGCTATTCTCGTACTTGTTAAACTCTAAGTGGGCTACATGTTTTGCCTACAAGCTCTAAACAGTTATTTATAGTAGTCCGGGGATGATGAGTTCTTAAGTGAGATCAAGTACATTTCAACCTCAGACACATAAGACACAGAAAATAAGTTAAGTTAATTCCTCAATTAAAAACCAAACCATCCATGTTATTTTAAGCAAGTCTGTAGTCAGATCTGTATTTTCAAGGCCCTGTGGAGAACCATGCACGTTATCAAAAGCCTGATGTTTTTTTATTAATTTTTAAACACTGGGAGAGCTGTGTACAATAAGAATTTACTCATTGTAAAATTTAGCAGTTTCATTGGGGACATAGACAAAATAGTAGGCTACTGCTACTAAACTACTGCAAGACATTTTTCACCTTCGGCTTTTCATGAATGGTTAAAAAAATCCTGTGAACACAATGTCTGGAATCAAGTCTTTTATTGAAGTGTATTTTATTTTCAGAGGGCTATCAGAAGTTTGAAGAGGCTAAATCTGCGCACTACGAGTGGTTGGTCAACTCATCGTTGTCTCACTCACAAGTGGAAAAGCTTTATCATCAAAGTTTGCTGAAGATGTCTAGATTCCTATCTGAGGTCCTAGCCAACTACAACATGCCAGCAATGGTTGCCGCAATAGGCATTTTGTTACAGGTGAATTCAGCACTTAAACTCTAAATGAAAGTGAGTAGTTGCATCTGTACAAATAGTTTGTCAGTCTCATCTCATATACGTTTTGAAAAATAGGAAGGTAAAAATTAAGCTGAACCGTTGTGCAATCTGGCTTGTATTATTAGTACTTTTAGACTTGAGAAAAACTCAGATAGATTAAGTCTCATTGTTCATTTCTGATTATGTTACACAATGGCAATAATAGTGATTGTATATGTGATTGAAAATATCTTATTAATTTTTCAAAAACCTTAAAAATAGTCTCTTCTGTCTAAACATTTCACAAAATTCATTTATGTCCCAAGTATTCAATTCAATTCAAACATTCTTTATTTCATTATTGTACATGAAATTAGTACATAGAATTGCGTCAAAAATATTGTCATAATCATAAGACTAAATTAAAAACTAAACATACTAAAATTCTTCCAATGAATACAGTGGTCTTGAAATTAAATAATTCTTTAGCAATTTTTTAAACTTAATAATACTAACTTCTTTTTTAATGTTATCTGGTAAATTGTTATAAAATTCTCCTCCAGTATATGTAGTTTTCTTTTTGTAAAATTCTAGTTTGTGAATAGGCAATGATATGTTTAGCCTATTTCTAGTATTGTAAGAATGACTTTCCCCTAATAAACCCAATTCATCAAAGTGAAGCTTACAATACATGATCACTTCATAAATGTACAAACTATAAACAGTCATGATGCCAAAATTTTTGAAATGCTCTTTGACAGTGTCTCGCCATTTTAGATTACGCATTATTCTTAAAGCTCTTTTTTGTAAAATCAGAATACGATCTAAATTACTTTTAGTCGTTGCTCCATACACGCAGATTCCGAAATTGATATTTGCATGTATGTATGCATAGTAAACAGTTTTTTAAGGTTTCTAGATTGCATACTTTTGATAGCTTGTAAAGAGCAAATAATCCAGATATAACCTTTTTAGCCACTTGTTCAATGTGGTGATCCCAACTCAAATTACTATCAATTGTTAAACCAAGAAACTTGGTATTTTCAATTTTGTTAATTTTATGGTTATTTAGACCAACTGATACTGATTCAAAGTCATTAATTTTATGTTGTTTTGTACTAAACTGAATAAGACTGGTTTTGGTAGGGTTAAGCAATAATTGATGATAACAAAAGTAATTATTAAGATCGATTAAGTTTTCCTGAATAGAAGATTCTAGTTCCTTGACTGATCCACCACAAATTTTTAAGTTTGCATCATCTGCATACAGGCAGAGCTTGTTTTGTTTGTTGAAATTTCGTGCCTGTTCCGATGATTTGGGAATCCCGCAGACCCCTCGTATTTTACAGCAGAACACTTTTGCCAGCTCAAGTAAATATGTTTAGAAAAGTAGCCAGAAAAAAAGTAAAAATCAGAGATACACATAAGCTAGAAAATGTAAAAAAAGATATAATAAGAGTCTCTGTGAAGGGGAGAGGAAGGCTTAGAAATCCCAATAATCCCTATCTCTCAGGGCGGTAAGGGAAGGGAAGATGTGCTGTTAGGGTTTAGGGACACAAAATTAGTCTGGAATAGGGTTGTAAGTGGCCGAAGTCTGAAAAGGGAGAAGATGTAATGGAAAGCGGTCACAGTAGTTTATCTGCAGACAAAGGTAGAATTAGGCAGACTAGAGGTTATTTTCCAGATGAAAAATCAAACCCAAAATACTGAACATTGTGGTGAGCTATGTTAATTAAGATTAAATTACTTGAAGTTACTTAAGTTTTGGTTTACAATAGTTAGTTTATTGCCTAATCAGTATCTATATTGGCAGGTGCTGTGCATCATGGCGGTGAGGCAAGAGATTACAGTGAGACCAAACCTTACAGTTATACTGGTCTGTGTGGTGTCAGTGGTGTTTGTAGCAGTTGTACTGTCGTCTGTTGTACAGCCCTATCTGCTCACCTGTGGTTCGATTTTCATATTCAACATCATCGTGATACACAGACAACTTCGGCAGACATCTTTTCTTTTCAAGGTAATTCAAAATTTTGTCATTCAACTATGTGCGTGTAAAACAATGTTCATTGACAAAACATGTGCTTTCTACTTGATTAATTTCTTTACGTGTATAACTTATCTTCTTTAAAATGTAGGTATGACGAATGTTGCTGATTCAGTAGATTGGGAAATTATTTTACTATGTAGTTGTTATTGCAACATACATAAATTGTTATATGAAGTGAGAATTTTTATTTATGATAATTTAAGCATATTATCCAAACTCTAACCACCCGAATTGACAACTATCCAAATCGCTTACAGAAAGAATTTTAAAACCTACTGCAATAAGAATTGAAGGCAGAAGCCTTGATCTCAGACAAATCTTGAACGTCTTCTGTGATGTTGTTCTGTGAGACATCATCGTCGTCTCCCGCACTCTCAGAAAATCGCCTTGGTCCTCCACAATTGCGACAAAAGCGTGACTTTTTCGATTGTGAAACTTTATGACAGTGAAACAATTCGTAAAAAATGCTATCATCCAAATTTCCAACTATCCGAATGTGATTTGGTCCCAATTGATTTGGATTTTTGGAGTTATGCTGTACATCTTTGCAGATTTGTCACCCAATAAGTTGAAGAAAATTTGTAGCACAGTATATTTTTTCAGGTAAAGGTTTTGACTTACCTAACCATAACCAACTAACTACCTGAACCAAAACATTATCATAGACCATAGTCTCTGGCTTTATAACCAGAGTAAAGCGCACAATTTAAAAGATGCTAAAAAGAAATCGTCATCAGTGCACTAAAACGTAACTACATGGATCATTGACTATACACCTCTACTAGATTGAACATGTAAATGCATTTAGTAGATAACCAGATAGCTTAGACCAAATTTTAGCTACAAGCGTGGTCATGTATTCCATAATTATTATGTTATACTTTCAGTTTTTACTATACAATATTTCTGTTTGTCTGAACAACATTTAAAAAATAAAATCTCCAAGTCATTTATTTTATCATTAATAAAAACCTTTAACATCATGGGTCCTGCACATGGACAAGCGACTTAGGTAGTTCAGCGATCCTAGCGTTACACAATCTTAACAAACATGCAGAACAGAGATATTCCATGAGCTAAAACGGATGCCAGGCTTATTGTAAACTAGCAGAGAAACTAGTTGCTCGGGTCCAAATACTAAGCACAATAAAAACACATTTTAAAGGAACAATGTATCAACGTGTATTTTCTGTAAACATGTTTAGATTCCCTTCAGCTGGAGTGTTGGTGTAGGTGTCACGTTCACAGACTGAGCAGGTTTGGATTTTCCATGCAATTGTCATCATTACAAGTCTTGCAAAATTCATTGTTCGTCTTCTTGGTTTTATTTAACTTGACAAATTATGTTTTTTCATAGTGGGATTCAAGTCCTTGATCAAGATGTCAATCCTCCTCTATCTTGTCAATCCTCCATTTGTGATCTGTTTCAATCGTTGTTCAGCAGTCTCTTGTTCCTCAGCTTTTTCTCCATCCTCTACTGTTTCAAGTAATGACTCCATTGATCATCTAGCGGCTCACCAATTTTATGCTCATTTTACAGGTAGCTTTAGCTTTAAGGCGTGGCTTGTTAAATAGTCTGCAGGTTTGCTGCGGCGGGGGTATTTACCCTTACTGGGTCTTTCTTTCTGTTCTTGTTCTTGTTTTCTGTTCTTGTCGTTGCCATACCCCCGCACTTGTCCCTGCTCTTTTACCCCCCGGCTGCTTGAGGGTGGCCGTGAAACTCTACTGCCCCACCTAACACAGGAGGAGCAGCAGCAGGAGGAGGAGGAGGTCCCAAAACTTGGTCCAACAGCCAACTAACTGCCAACCCAACACCTACACCTACCGCAATAGAAAGTATATGACTCATTGTAATTACTTACGTGTCAAAAAAGTAGAATAGAATAAATTATTAGTAAAAGAAATTAGCTTGTGTTGGCAATTCTCAAAATAATGAAAATGAGCCGTCTCTATGGATACTTATTTTATTGTTATAGTTTGGCTAGTTTGTAAATCATAATATTTAATAATGTCACTTTTTTAATGATCAATAAATTATGGAAGCAGTATTTGACACATAAACAAAAACAAAGACTTATGATCAGCTGTTGACTTTTGAATGCAGTAGATAAAAGAATAGCGGATAGCATTATTCCACAGATATTAGAACAAAAACGGTATGGATCATAAATATAATCAAATGACGACACTAGCTTGAGGTCCGTGACGTAGGAAGAGGTGAAGGAAGTAGTAAAGGTGAGCAGTCTGGAGTGTGGAAACTGTTTATGTCGATTAGATTAAGGTATCTGCAATCCTAAAATGCTATTGGAAGGGAAGGAAAAAGGTCCGCGACGTAGGAAATGGTGAAGGAAGTAGTGAAGGCGAGCTGTTCGAGGTGTGGGATCTGTTATGACCATTAGATTAAGGTATCTGCAATCCTAAAATGCTATGGAAAGGGAGAAAAACAGGTCCGCGACATAGGAAGTGGTGAAGGAAGTAGTCAAGGTGAGCGGTCCGGAGTGTGGAAACTGTTTATGACGATTAGTTTAAGGTATCTGCAATCCTAAAATGCTATGGAAAGGGAGGGAAACAGTTCCGTGACGTAGGAAGTGATGAAGGAGTAGGCTAAAGGGGAGCAGTCCGGAGTGTGGGAACTTTTTATGACGATTAGATTAAGGTATCTGCAATCCTAAAATGCTATGGGAAGGGAGGGAAACAGGTCCGTGACGTAGGAAGTGGTGAAGGAAGTAGTAAAGGCGAGTTGTTCGGAGTGTGGGATCTGTTTATGACCAATAGATTAAGGTTTTTGCAATCTAATTTTTCCAAGGGAAGGGAGGGAAACAGGTCTGAGACGTAGGAAGTGGTGAAGGAAGTAGGAAATACGAGCAGTCCGGAGTGTGGGAACTGTTCATGATGATTAGATTAAGGGATCTGCAATCCTTATATGCTATGGGAAGGGAGGAAAACAGGTCAGAGACGTAGGGAGTGGTGAAGGAAGTAGTAAAGGAGAGCAGTCCGCAGTGTGGGAAATGTTTATGACGATTAGATTAAGGTATCTGCAATCCTAAAATGCTATGGGAATGGAGGAAAACAGGTCCGAGTCGTAGGAAGTGGTGAAGGAAGTAGTCAAGGCGAGCTGTCCGGAGTGTAGGAACTGTTTATGACAATTAGATTAAGGTATCTACAATCTTAAAATGCTATGGGAAGAGAGGGAAACAGGTCCGCGACGTAGGAAGAGGTGAGGGAAGTAGTAAGGTGAGCAGTGTGGAGTATGGGAACTGGAAACCGTTTGTAGCATTTAGATTAATGTATCTGCAATGCTGAAATGCTATTAGAAGGGATGGAAGCATGCCCACGACATAGGAAATGGTGAAAGAAGTATTAAGTGCTAGCAGTGCGGAGTGTGGGGAATGTTTGTGGCAATTAGATTAACGTATCTAAAATACTAAATTCTTATGGAAAGTTATGGACGACGTAGGAAGTGGCTTAGGAAGTAGTAAAGTATGAGCATAGTGTGAGAACCGTCTGTGGCAGTTAGATTAATGTATATTCAATCCTAAAATGCTTTGAGAAGGAAAGGAAACAGGTCCCACGACGCAGGAAGTGGTGAATATTTTCAATACATGCAATCGTTTACAATCAAAATTTACAATTGAGTTGGCAACAGCTGATTTTTACTCGACAGAGGCTAAAAGCGATTTTTACTCCCTAAAGAGTAAAAATGCTACTTTACACCCGCAACACTTGCATTAAAAACGAATGTTTTTACTGCAGTATGACAAAAACAATATAATATGAACCCTTGATGACTCCGCTCAATTTTGTGGATGCCTCTGCGAACGTTACCTAGTTTATTACAAAAGTCGATACAAAAAGTGTGTAGAAAATAACAAAAGCTTACAGAACTTTAATAGTTATAAAATCTTAAATAAGAAAAAAATTTTAAAAAATCAAATGAAAACAAGACATCTTTAATGTAAAACTGCAACATGCATACCATAACTAACTGTCTCACAACAGTTTTTAAGAGTCTATAATAGATTATAGATAATAAATGATGGATAGATAATAGGTAATAGCATTAACTATACACCTCTACTAGATTGAACATGTAATGCATTTAGTAGATAACCAGATAGCGGTGCGGTAGCAACGCAACCTATCGTTGTATAACGGAAACATGTGTTCTGTCTGGTGCTGCCCCCGCGCGGAGAATGTAAAAGCTACTAGCACACTACAATGAGAGGAGAGACGAGACTAGTCGGCACTCGGCAGTCGCCCGGGCACGATGACGGCGGAAGTGATGTAAATAAAACTAAAACCATCACTTCCATTATCTCACCCACACCGGGCTCAACGTCGAGTGACATAACTCTGGCCTCTGACACTGCTGACACCGTGTTCATGTAACGATAGTCAGCTGTTACTATGCAACTTTTTATTAATGAAACATTAAACTATTGGACAAAAGTATCAACTTCCTTGATGTTTTCAACATGACACGGTTCGGGTAAGGCCTCACCAATAATAAATTGATTATTTCAATACCGGATACACATTTTAAAATAAACCTTTCATTAACTGTACTATACAATATAAAATGGCAAAAATCAACATTAATAAATCTAGTTTATGAAACAGCGTGCTGTACACTATTGATTAGTAGTTCTCATAATATCTCAATATGTTGAAATAATGTAGAATGCAAAGTGTTACAAATATTTGCTTGGACGCTATTTCTAATTAATTTTAATAGAGTAATTATGATACTTATTTTTTGTGAGGAACTTAAGAAATAGCTACAATGAGTCAAAACCACAGATTTGAATTAGGGGACTAAGCATGTGTAAGTATTCCGTCACCTGACGGTGTTGGGCGCGAGTTGCCCCGTCTCAATTCGTTGGGACATGACATGCCGCTCGCTACCTTTGAGTGACGTGTCATAAAGTTTTTGTGCCATCTCCTTCATCCCTTAGTTTGACGCCATAATGTTAAAAGCTGTATTGTTGCCAAACTTCAGTTCGCAAATGTTTGAGCATGGCGACGGTCGTAACGGTTGTGCACGTCGTCGTTAGTTTTGACTGGTGTGTCGTGTCGATTTCGAGTGTGTGTGTTTAACGTACTGTATGTTGGTGACAACGTAGGGACTTTTTTATTTACTGTTTCAGAATTGGTGACGAATACTTCTAGGTATTGTTCCATGGGTCAAATAAAACTCCCAAGATAATGAGAATGTAAGTTATAAGAGCCTACCATCGTAAATATGCCATGTTTTGGAAAAGTTTCTGGAAATTATAATCTATTTTGCTTTAATGAAAATCAGCTGACATTTGCCAATGGATACGAAGACACACAATCAAAGAAAGTAGGCAAGCTGTATATCACGCAATATCTCATGGGGGACCCAGCAATTTGTACTTTTTACCACGCGCTAATCAACATGGTAATCGTCACTGCTCGGCACTCGCAGCTCGCAGTCGCAATTCGCATCGTAGCCGAGGTTGTCTGCAGTGACAGACGACGGGCACTCGCAGCGCGATCCTACGTTATCTAAGGGAACTAAAGGCGCTTGAAGAGCGCCTAGCGTCATCTAACATAACTACGTGGACCATACACTAACGCAGAACCAGTGTATTGTTAACAAAGCGACCGCATAGTGTTCAATCTAGTAGGTGTATAGTCAATGACGTGATACACTTACAATAAACGCTTATGATTTTTTTATAATTATTTTGATTTTAAAATATTGTTCTTTCTTTCCACGGAGGTTTCCTTATAATCTACTTTTTAACACATTCGCTGCTGAAAACCTTTAAACAGGCGCTCGCCAATGGCGGCGAGGCCCGGGCGGAGCCCCGACGCGCTAACTTAATCAGCCATCGCTATTGGTATTGAAATATCTCAGTAAGACGAATCACAAAAGAGCAGTGGTGATTGTTCTGCGTTACTCCGAAAGTGGACGTAGTTCACTGAAACACCCAAAGGTAGCAGCACTGCCTGGATCAATAACCAGAGTCTTTGTAATATGGCTCGAACTGAGAAAATCCCCGAAAACGGGACAAAAGCATTGCCAGACGGGATTTTACGCACAATTTTTGTACCAACCTAAACCAGAATAAAGCTCGCATTATAAGCTACAGGCTGGTAAAGATTACAACGTTCCCCGACAATGGCTGAGCTCACATTAAAACAAGGTTATTGCTAAGCTAACATGACGGGCGCGCCCGTCAGACGCTTGATGTGCCAACTGCGCATGACGGGCCGGCCCGTCACTCGCACTGAATGTGTTAATCAACAGTAGGTTGTATGGTAAAGTAATCCTGTTTATTAACAGGTTCCCTCTCAGCCGTCACACTTGTCTATACAGTATATAGTCTAATGACACCTGCCAGTGTTAATAGTGTAGTATTTATTGCAGAAGTATATTCACTTGTAACTGACAAGTGACGAGTAATAAATTATGTCTCTGATTTCTAATTAAAATCCTTATCCTTAAGGGTTTCAGAATCAGACACACAGTCTCATCATGGAACCAAGCCATCATCGCTGTTGGGACTGTTCTTTTCTGCATCTCCCTGTTTTCGTCAAGTCTAATAGAAGAGGAACACCAGCTATGGTAAGTATTTAGAAATTACTAGAGGTCGTCCAGTGGTCGAAAACTCGACCAAAAATATGTAATGCACAGACTCCTCTATTTTCACCCTACCCTGTAAATAAAACATGTGATGATTGGAATTTCAAAAACATATTCCAATAAAAATTAGAAAAACATTTTTTTAAACAGTAAACGCTGAACTAAATAAACTCGTGAAAGTGACATAATAACATGACTATACTTTATTGAGTCAATACTTGGTTTTATTTCAAAAGCTGCTGAACGAATCTCGAAATCCATTTGATTCTTTATTGACACATGCACTGTTTTGCCCTCAAGCTAATGATTCACTTTGTAATGTTTTTGAAATATTTTGAGTTGTGTTGAAAATTGAAGTCAGTTAATATGCCAGGTACTTCCTGTGGGCAACAGTGATAGTGTTGAGGCTCAGAGAGGCACCTCTACAGTGGCTGGCAGTCCTGGCTTCTCACAGAGTGCTGCGGAGACTAAACAGTACTGGTGACAAGTGGGCTCATCTACCTGACACTAGTGACTGGCTGATACAGGCTGAGCAGAAACCATTGCTGTCCGTGGTGTGTGGTGTTAGTAAGTATTTACAAAATCTAAAAACTCCAACCTTCCTTTGTTGAAAATGCCAAATACGTGTGTAAGTTGTGTAAAGTACTCAGAGAAAGTCCAAGTCAAGTACTGGGTACTTCCACCACCTTCAATTCACTTGGCGCCACGTTTTACGGTTTTATGTCCTTGAAACCGTGTAGACAACAATGCAAATCTATCAGTTGATCGAGAATCAAGTAAAGGAAACAGGGCTGAACATATTTCTGTACTGACGTCATTTGTATATTATATTGTGATATTGAGTTTTATCGCTGCCATCTCATTACAAACTTTGTTGCAGGTCTATTGTGTGTGGTCTGGTGCTGTACTAAGGTACATTACAGTCGTTCCTCAGTGTTTCTGTACGTTTGTACTGCCTCTCTTATATACCAACACAAAGCAGCCAGTCTACAGGTCATCTCTCTTCTACCTTGGCAAATTTCGTAAGTTTCTCTGTTTGTTATTATCAGACATGTATAAATTGTAATGATGTAATATAGTGCTTAGAGACATAGGTATTAAGGATTGTTTTTGGGACAGCAAGATCACCTGAATAGCAGACAGTTTATGCCAAGATGGACTCTTTCCTATTAAGGTAACACTATTATCCCATCAGTAATACTTAAATTGTTTGTATGAAATGTCAATAATGACTAACTAGTTGTTACCCACGGGCTTCACCCCGTTTGACTTCATAAGTATTAATAAAACTATTGATTGGTTAGGTTAAGCTGAAATAAACAAAACATACTTACAGCTGATGTATTTTTAACATTAGGTATATGGAAAGTTCCCTTTGGAAAGAAATTACGACCTTATAGGGCAATTTAAGAAATAATGGATAATTTTGCACAAGGTTTCTCGTCATGACGAACATTTTAAGTATATGGTTTATGGGGGTGTGACTTGTAGTTTCCTCAAAAGTTCATGGGTACTTTTGGCTTTATATATAGATGAGGATTGTGTTTTTTATGTTGCCATCTATAGCTTCTTTGGAATGTTTGGACAAGTAAGACTAATGTATTGTCATTGTCTGGTGAATTAAAACTGCGTCAAACTGTAAAACAAAAACAGCAATGTTGATGGTTTAAAAGCTATACAGTTCATACTTGTACTGTACCAGCTCACACCTTGCTTTGCTTTATTTGAACAGGCCTGATGCCTATGTGGATAGGCTAATTCAACGTTAAAAGAGGCTGCCCACCAATAAAAGAAAATTATTCATATAGTCAATTTAAGGACCTTTGTGTGTTGTACCATTGCATTTCTGATACTGAAATAGACATAATAATCTATATACCAGCTGTAGCTGTTTACAAAAAATTTCAAACTCACAGAGTGCACTGATATCAAGACATATTTCCTTTTCCCTTAATGATATTTGATGTATCATAAAATGCTATATGAGTAGTTTACGATAAGTTATCCTCTCGTTTTAGCTTGATCAAAAAATGTCTGTATCCAACAAAATAGGTAACTGACATCAGTACTCTTGCTGGCTCAATTCAATTCCGCCCATTTTCATTCTAAATAAAAAGGCTGAAGCTTTATTTATAGGCACATGATGACTACTTCTATCAATGGTCAAAGGTTGTACTTGATAACAGTGGTGTGTTCCAGGAGTATAACACTAGCCAGAGTCTGCTGGTGTCTGCTGTTAGTGGTGCTACTTCTTAGTCGCTCTGTTCTGCGCAGTCTGCTCGTCTGTTGGCTGCTAGCAGTCTGTCTGCTGCTGAGGTCGTACAACACTGTGCTGGTTCCTGTGCTGTTTCTGGTCAGCAGAACTGTATCAGCCACGTCCAGCAATGTGCTGCCACTGTGGCTCGGCTCTGTCTTCTACTTTTATCAGGTATGAATATCAAAAGAATTTTCTAGTGGTGGATTGAAAAAACTAATATTTCTTAACCTTTAAAGTATACTAAGTTTGTTTACTTTTTGAACATAATTCAAACAAATGTTTCAGTTATATCACGTTGAAACTTTTGCTTTTTGTGCATTTAATTAATAGATGATCCTTGTTAAGTCTGTATAGACTACCTCAAACACGAGGTTTGGCTATAAAATAACAGGACTGATTTTCTAAGAGACAAACGGTGTGAGCCTGAAGGCCAAATGCTACATTGCCAAGTTGCCTGTCATCCTCCCTCCACATTCTGATCGGTTTAAAAACACTAGGTTGCTTAGTTCGGTCACAGAGTTTGTTTGTGTCGTATAATGTAATCTCTGCTCATCAGAAAAACAGTGAAAGTTAACTGAGCAACGTGTTAACACGAAAAGAAAATATATTGTGAAGCTCACTAGCAGTTAAAATAACTGTTTAAAAAAGACCTTGGCACGGATCACTTAGATATCTTCTCTCCCTTGAGTCTTTTATGCCACCCTTGTATATGACATACTTTTTCATCCCCATACACTTAGAGAAAGTTAGTCTCTGTTGCGGATTTACTGAGGCTTCACAAATAAATACTTTCACTATGACACATTGCTCTGCACAATTTTTCTAACAATCTGCAAAGACAAACAAAGTCTGTGACCAAACTAACCTGAGTGTTGAAACCAGCTGGAATGTGAGGGGGATGTCAGGTGACCAAGCAAAATGGCGTTTGGCTTTGAGACTAAAGCAGTTTATTTCTTGGAAAACACTGAAAACAGGCCCGGTATTTATTAGCTACACCTTGAATCAGGCTATGAAATGTACGTATGGAGACACAGTTACATTCTCAGTACATTCTCACAATGGCTGAGAATCATGTCCAAGTGTATTTATGGTGGATTAAAGCTATTTTAATTTCTATCATCATTTGATTGCTCTAGGCTGTTTATGGTGGTGTCAGAATATATGTGTAAAACAATGTAAAAAATTAAGTAATGTCTTATTCATGGACTTCTCAAAGATACTTTCTTTATGACATTTTAAGACACAATACTGTTGCAGGGTAACTCCAACAGTCTAGCCAGTGTGGACCTGGCAGCTGGCTATGTAGGCCTGGAGGATTACAATGTGTCTGTGGTTGGCATCCTACTGATAGTCCACACCTACAGCATGCCTGTCCTAGCATACCTAGTGCACGTGCACTCGATAGTGGAGAAAACAAGGTAAGTCTACAATGAAGTTGACTTGTTTGGGCAACAGAATATTACTGTAGTTGATTATTCATTTTCTCCTCCAGGTAACTGCCAAGTCACGACTATAATTTTGGTTACGTACCTTGTTATTGTCAATCCAATATCGGATATTTGATGGGGAGAAAAGTAAAATTTTTTAACATCATTCATTCAATCATTTAACGTCATTTTGTCCTAAAAACGTAACAAAGGTTTTTGGAAGCAGTTCTAGACATTTATTTTTATGTCCCACCTTCACATTCTAGGACACTAAGATTCTAGCCTGGAACTGTTTACACACATTACTTCAGGCTAGTCCTAGAGGGTAGCGACATTATCACATAGATAAAATCCATTGGAGATTGGCGCGATTTGGACCCAGGACCTCGGGCACTGAAGGCCCTTGATTTACAACTAGACCAGCTCGCTCTCCTAGATGTAGGCTTAAAAAACGGCTTTAGAAAGCCACCTTGCTGCGGAGGACCCCTGGACCCCCCTCTTGACAAGATCCTAGAACCGCCTTTGCCTACATTCTGTCACAAATCATGTAAAGTTTAAACATTTGGTAACATTTTTTGTGCGTCAAACAATATTTATTTTTTAATATCTTATGAAATTTGACAAAGATGTAACAATGCTTAAAAATTAAAAATTAGTCATCTAAGACAAAACCTATGTCATAGTGTAGTTGAGTTATAAATAAAACTTTATCTTAAGCTGGGTTTTCCTAGGCGCGGAAGCAGAGAGAGGAATGTGGAGAGCGGAAAAGAGATTAACATGGTGTTCCGCTCCGCTTCTAGGAAAACAGTAACATGAAATTACCTAAGACAAGTGGAGTCTGCTCTCCGCTCTCCTCTTCCGCGCCTAGGATAACCCGGCTTTAACCTCAAGACAATTCATGAGCTGAAAGTCAGTACTTCCAAATAATTATTTGAAAATGATTAAGGAGTGATTTTAAACTCAAAATTCACCTTGTGTGGTTTGTGCTACTTTTACTGTATTAATATAGCACTTGCAGTTTTTTTCTAAACCAAATACACCTTAAGTGATCATCGATTACAAGGTGGTTATTGTTACAGGTACTGGGAGACTCAACTGAGCACCAGTGTTGCTGTGATGGTGTTTTTACAACTACTGCATGTGTTTGTCTGCCTCGTAGTCATCACTCTACAGAGATATCATCTATTTGTCTGGACAGTGTTTGCACCCAAACTGCTCTACGTGGCAGCCCAGACATTGGTGTGTTTTGTTCTAGTCAGTATTACAAACCTTTGTATGTTTTATACCAAAATAACCAAAGTATCATTCCATGTGTAAGACTGAGTAAAATGTATATTTTTCAGGATGTTTAATTTTTTACCTGGAGTGTATATCTTTTGTGATGAAGAAGTTAGGTTTAAACAATACATACATTTAGAGTAGGCCTTAACAATAATTTAATTGCAGATCAATAACAGTAATAGAGAGACAGTAACAAAATAAATTATCTTGTTTGAATGTACAAAACTTCTACAAGTCCACTCGGCTTTATTTAAAGAATTTGGTTTCTTCTAAATATTCAATTACCCATTTCCGATTATATGTAAAGGGTCTTTTAGTCATTTATATTATAAAATTGGGTTGGCCTAACAGTTGGTTACAATATTGTATAAATGAATTGTGGTATTGTGATTCATATTTTAAAAAATCAATACTTTCGTTTAATTGAAATGTAGATTGTGCTGTGCACTGAGCTGAAGCTAAACAAAGTCACCGGCACTGTCGCTGTTTTGAACTAGATAGTTTCTAAGTTGGCTATGAAAATTGTTAACCGTGATTACAAAACTAATACTGTAGCTATAAAGTAAATAAGTGTTCAAATAAAATCCCTGTCGGGTGTCGGTATCATCGGAATCGACTTTTGACAATCGAGTCTTAGTACCGATACCAATGTCCAAGTATCGGTGGTATCGATGACGATTATCGACACATCCCCTTTTAGAACTGCATCGGTATTTTGATGCATGGGCTGGATCGAATCGGGATTCGATGCATCAAATCGAAATTTCAATGCATCGCACTCGCACACCACTAGGCCTACCTATCACCCAGTGTCAGCTGCTGCTGTCAGTGAAATGGATGATGCAAGCGATGTCTAGGTTGCCGATTACTAGTAGGCCTAGTATGTCAATATTTAAAGGGGTTAAGGGATTAAATAAAACCCAAACATTTTCCTTTCTTGTTATTTATTTGTCAAATATCAATGAAAATAACGAAATCGGCTTAACGTCGACTCGAGTTGCGAGTATCTTTTAACTACTCGCCTGGATTGTGGAGTATTGCCAACTACTTGAGTAATTACTCACAGTGGAGTACTCGCCCACCCCTAGTCATTTGGCAATGGAGCAGACACTCACACATGAACCATAAAGTGAATGATTGTGCTTTGAGAGCATCACTAGGACCTTACAACTAGGGTGGTCTGCCGTTACACTTTAGACGCATAAATGAGCGAAGCATTATTTAAAGATTGTCAATGGCTAAAGCAGCTAACACCCTTCAATATGTTCCCTTTCAACAGATTCACCATTTGTTTGCCCGATATTATTTCAATTCTAAAGAATGACAAATTTATCTGATAGTTTATACTGCACCTTTGTAGTGAAACTGGCCACCCTGACCATTTGCTTGTACTTTGTAAATGGGCATAGCAGGATGTACTCGTGCAATCAACATTTGTTCTACAATCGTCAGGTCAGTTAATTCGTTCGGGACACTTGACACATCCATATTATTTAACACCGTGAATTTAGTTGCATTTGAACGACAACTCGAACAAATCGGTGATTGGGTTGAAGCTGTTAGTTGTTGGCGATGACAGTTAGTGCAAGTGTAACATTTTTGTGCATCTAATTCATGTTGGAATTGATTAGCTAACTGCCTATCATTATCAGCTTCTTCCGCCACTGCTTCATCTGGTTCTTCTTGTTCGCGACGCCACTTTCTTACAATATTTGCATTATCGGTGCGACGACCAATATTACGACGTTACCTTTGAGGCATGCTCAAAACAAATATAGCAAAACTGTTACTTCCACTGATTAACTGTTACATTCCAACTTTAACCTATGATGAAAGTAAACATTGAAATGTAAACAAAACAGTTACAAACAATTATCATATGTTTATCTTATTTAAATGAAACGAGATAAACCCATATGTCATAAACCCAATATATTTTTCTTTCAACTTACATTAAAATAACAAGCGAAATTGCGTGACCTGTAAAATAAAATCCAGAAGGAAATTTGCAAATATTTTTTTACCAAAACATTGTGCTCAGTATTCTTTAGCTGTTGGCCAAATTTCATATCAATTGGTCAAGCCATTACATTCTGATGCCCTTACAAAGAAGTTACAAAGTGAGGGAAAGTGAGCTTCGCTCAATAAAACTATGATTTTCCTATGACAATACTCATTGGCCATCTTCGCTCTTACCTGAGACAATATTGGATTCGTCGGACCTGGAGGTGCCACGACGACCACTGACAATTTCCCTGGGAAAGCAAACGGCAAAGGTGACGCAAATGTCCCGATCTTAAAGAGCTTAAGTTCCGAATGACGACGACTTGCTCCATTGGTTACCAGAACTACCTGTAAAGAGATGTTTATCCATTTTGTGTATTTCACAGGCATAATAAACTACAATGGTTGTCTTTTAGGTTTTTTATATTACTTTAGAGTAGGTCTTTGGGTTGATGTGTTGATGACTCTTGTCTGGTAGGTCTACTAGCCATGATAGGACTATCTTGTACCATAAACAATGCCAAATTTCACTATCATTTACAGAGTTTTGAGAGGAAATCTTATTATCATTGGCACTTAGCCTAACAAATACCGGGGATTTAAGTGAAAAATCATTAGTTGTTTTTATTTGCAAAGTGAAACAACCCAAATCTGAATTCTTCAGTGCAAGATCTCTACTTGAACAAGATGCTCATATAAATCATGAACAAGATGCTCATATAAATCATCAACATGACACTTTTAGCCGGCATCGGCATCTTGCTCAGATTGCAGCAATCTTAACCGGTACTGCGTGCAACAAGCCTGCTTGTTTTAGCGAATTTTCCATATAGGAAATAAGCTATTACCGCGAGTCTCATGGCACGACATGGACCCGGGATGGTTTATTTTTTTGTTTTGACGTCTCAGAGGCCAAAAACACCATCAGTTCAAATTCATGTAGGCCTAACAAAGATAAATCTATTTTTAGATAATTTGTTTAGAGTTCATAAATTGTATGTTTTATTCAAAACACCTCCTCCCTAGGTGGAAACCATGAAGCTAGCAACAGATAATTATTGATAATTCTAATTCACAACAGCTACAATTAATAACAAGGCAATTTAGTTTTTTAAATAAAACCATCGATACCTGGCAAGGGGTGGTGGGGCACACGGGAGGGATTATGGCTAACATATCTTGTAGTGTCAGCGTTCGCCGCTAGAACCTCTAAGTATCATATCTGTCCTCTGATGACAACAACTCCTTATGGCTCGCAACTAAACGAATATTGAAAGAACGCACCCCAATACCCAGTTTAATAAACAATGGTCAGGTATATGAAAGCAAAACGGACAAAGCTAATGTTTTAGCTGATTACTATCAGCGTTCATTTCGTCCGAATGATGAATTTCAAGACCCTGAATTTTCAGCTCATATGTTGCCACAGTCTTGCCCACTTATCACGGTGGAACGGCCAATTAAATATACTTCTCCATCTGAAATCTCTAACTTCATCAAGTCGCTAAGAATCAAGAAAACTCCTGGACACAACGGAATACCTAACATTATTTTACATAATCTACCACGAAAAGGACTTGCTTTCCTTGCTTCAATGTTCAATGCCTGTCTCACAAAATCATACTTCCCGCGAATGTGGAAACATTCTCTAACAAATTGTCATCCATAAACCTAGAAAACCTGCATTGCAAGTAAATAGTTATTGCCCGATTAGCCTCCTCCTCACATTGTCTAGATTGTTTGAAAAAAATCATTAAACAACTCCTAGACTCCCACGTAGATAGTGCTTCCCTAATACCTCCTCATCAGTTTGGTTTTCGCTCCCACCATTCCACGACACATCAACTTTTAAGAGTTTCTGAAGACATCATTAAAGGATTTGAAAGAAAATGTCATCTGCTGCAGTTTTTCTTGATGTAAGTCAGGCCTTTGACCGTGTTTGGCACGATGGTTTGTTGTTTAAACTAAGAAAGTTCGGAGTCCCCTCCTACCTACAGAGAATTATTGAAAGCTTCCTTGAAGATAGAACGTTTTCAGTTAATATTGATGGCTCCCTATCAACTGCCAGACCAATTCAAGCCTGAGTCCCACAGGGCGCAATTCTTTCACCTCTATTATATAACATTTACACTTCTGATTTGCCTTTATCAAACCATGTCCAAACAGCCGTGTTTGTTGATGACACCCTACTCTACTCTACACACCATGACATCGAAGTTGTGGCCAATACTGTAACATTCAAGTTTCCTTAAATGATTTGATGGAATGGTTCACAAAATGGAGAATAGCCATAAATCCGATGAAGAGTGAAGCGAAGATTTTTACCCTCCGAAAACCGTTAGATCCTCCAAATTTAGAAATTCTAGGTGAACAGATTGCATGGAACCCTCCTGACCAAGCAATAAAATATTTAGGTGTATACTTCGACCGAAAGTTAAATTAGAAATTTCATATTAATACAAAATTAAATTTGGCTTATGGCAGATTATCAAAATTGTTTCCTTTAATCAACAAAAAATCATGTACCCCTATTAAGAATGGAACCCTTTTATACAAAACACTTCTACGTCCACTATTGTTATACGCCTGCCCAGTATGGGGAACTGTTTCATCAAGCTCGATTCGTAAACTGCAAACATTTCAAAATAAAGTTTTAAGGATAATTCTAAAATGTCCCTGGTATTTTCGAACCCGTCAAATACATTTAGAACTGGGAATAAAACCTATAGAAGATTTCATCAAGAAAGTTACATCAAAATTATTTACAAAACTTCCATTAACCAGCAGCATTGGATTTTATAACACAGGCCAACCTTCGGAAATCCAGAGACTCCGACTAAAACCAAGATTGCCTCAAGATGTTTTATTATAACCATTTTTTTTTTCATTTGTGTTTCATTTGTGGACAGTGCCTTTACAGCCCGATCCGCTAAAACAGTGACAATAAGTGCCTGAGGGGCTAGCCATAGCTGACCTCTACCTATGTTAAAGTAATTAATAATGTTATTTTTTTTCTTATTATACCTAACCTGTATAGCAATGTAATGCTGATCGGTTAATAAAATCTTAAAAAAAGAACGTTGCCAATTCTACCAGGACGCGGCCTGGTAGAATTGGCAACGTCACAAGTGGTGTTGTTCAGTGACAGACGTCCCATAAGATAACATGACAGACAGGTGACATCAGCTCATTAATTCGCACTTTATTGATTTAAATTTAAATTGATGATCATAAATTTATTAAAATATTGAAAATAAAACATACAGCATTGAAAATCGAAACAATATGAATTAAAATCTATATCTGTACATTTTAAGCGGAGTCAATACTGTCATAGTCCAGTAACCAATCTTTCGTAGGTAAATACACAAATACCATTAGCTGCTTCCAAACAAAAACAGCTGTTACAACACCACTTGCGACGTTGCCAGTTCGAAGGCCGCGGCCTGGAGTTAAAGGCGGCCGTGGCTCCAGTCCAGTCCGCCAGTCTCCTCAGTCCATTCCTGTCGTCCTGTCTCCTATCTGTACGTCGTCCGCCTCCTTTACTCCGTCCGAGTCCGTCAGTGTCAGTTGTCAGTCCGTTTGGTGTATGAGGTGTTTTGTTTTGTGTTGTTCCCACTGACCTACAATAATAACGTTGTTCCATGTTCAATTCAATTATTTAAATAATAATGTTAGTGTTTTATTTAGCATGAAGATTTTAGGTGCATATTTACTATTTTTGTTAAATATACAAAAAAATTGCCTAGGAAAAGCTTAATCAAGAGAACTAGCCTAAGTTAGGCCTAGATCCTAGGCCTTTTTTTAACTAGCCTACTAAAGTAGCCTAGGCCTTATCCCAGTGTGTCATTGATAGGCCTATCTCATATTTTTTGCAAGGTCTAACTAGGCCTAGCTTAGTATGGCATTTCAGACTCAAACTGCAAGAGGTAAGTTTTTTTTCCGGGGCAGACTTCCGTAAGTATCTGTTGTCAAAAACAACCGAATGAAATATCAATAACCTAACCATACGATATATCGAATGAAATAATCGATAACTTATTAGTTTATTGAATAATTTTTCATTCAGTTGTTTTTGACAACAGGAAGTGTACCCCTTTTTAGCTGTAAGTTGAAATAGGCATAGCCTACCCTAACTAAATTAAGTTAGGCCTAATTTAAAAATCTATCTTATATATTAATAGGCAAGCATGTTTCTTTAAAACCTTTTTTCTCAGCTATAGTGCATCGCAGGGAAAATCTAGCATAGGCTACTGTTGGAAAGATATTTACCTGTAACTTAGATGTGCAGAATCCCTTTATAAATTAAAATAGGCCTAGGTTCAAAAATAAGCACAAATATGAATTTAAAATTTTGAAAAAATTAACATGGATCTTATGGGTTGCCATGCTGGTGACGAAATATCAACAGAAAATCAAAACAAATGGAAGAAATTCCAATCACATGTTTTATTCACGGCAGTGTGGGATGAAAATGAAGAAGTCTGTACATTAAATATTTTTGGTCAAGTTTCGACCACTGGACGACCTCTAGTTTTAACTTAATAGGTCCATCGTTTCTTTAGATTTTGTGAGGGTTTTAGTTAACATAAAACACAGTAAAAACAAGTTAGCTTATTCTGGGCTTTAGGATATGGCTGTGTTGTTAAGGCTGTTTTAATGCCAGGTTCCCATGGGACATGAATTTTCTCCAGCCAGCTCGCTTAGCCTACTTGAGCCTCGCCCTGTGGTGGGGTTCAAAGTTTGATCAATCTATATAAATAATAAATATATGTGGACAGCTGTTCAATAAGTTGAGACAACAATGGGAGAGTACAGGCCTATTGTTGAGGGTTGTGTAGGTAGTGGTTAGTCCTGTGATAAGTCACTAACCGAAAAAAAGTTTCCTTGTTTTCATTAGGGTAAGTAGGTAATGAGCTGTTATTTAGCCTAAGTCCAGTATCACATTTAAATTTTTAAATTTAATTCTAACTCAGATAAGTATGTGATTGTAACAGGACACTTTGGGTAGCACTATTCACTGACGTTTTGTCCTGAGATAGCCTATATGTGTTTTTAAACTCCTGTTCGGACAGAGTGGCGCATCTGATGTGATAACTTAACTTACCAGCATTTGCAATTTCCTGAGCAGAAATTTAATATTGCTCTTGAAGATCTGAACAGTTGACTTTTGAATTTATTTTACATACCAATATCCCCAATTGAGTGCATATAAATAAGTTAATGATAAATGAATAAATAAAAACTCCTCTTATATCAACCAAATAAAATCAAACAACCAAAAACAATAAATTATTTTTAGTTCTCAAAATGAAAACTACAACAATAACAGTCCTTTGTAGTCTAACTTACCTGCCACTATCAGCTGCATGTGACCCTGACCTATAGTCTGTCCGTTTGGCTATGATACCCAGCGGATTAGGGACCTTCTCGGAACTCGACTCACCCTCTCGACCCGTTCGTCGGGCTGGCCGGAGACAAACAGTGACTCACCCACTGTCACAGTCCCACAGATCTGTAACTTTTTTTTGTTTTAAGTTAAAATACATTTTTCTTTATACACTTGAGTTCTACACGAAATTCCAAAAATAATGAGCCCAAACACGATGTGGATACTTGATCTGAAAGTATTACAATTGCTCAGTATCGTCACCAGCTTTGTCCGACTTTCAAATCGTAGATACTAAGTATCCACATTGTGTTTGGACTGATTATTCTCGGAATATCATGTAGAACTCAAATATACAAAGAACAATTTAATTTTAACTTAAAATAAACAAAAAGTTACAGATCTGTGGTAAGGTAGGTAAACATTATATCAACGGCCAGCCTGGCGAGCGGGTCTGAAGGGTGAGTCGAGTTCCGAGAAGGTTCCTAATCCGCTGGGTAACATAGCCAAACGGACGGACTATAATCCAATGCCCTTGACCAGACTGCAGGCTCTAAACTTCCAGTCTTATCAGGTTTTCACTTATCAGTTCTCAGAAGTGCATACTATCCTAACATTTGAGTTTATTTATTGATGGTTAAAAGGTAAATTAGCTTAAAAACTATTGCAGCACAAAGTGTATACTACGCTATATAACTTTTTTTACTAGAATTTGGGAATAAAATGACTTTTTTATGTTTTCAAAAGAGAACACTTTTACAGGTTTGTTAACTATCCACCATCTTGATGTCGGAAATACTTTGTTATGTTCCAGAAAATAGAAAAATTCTTCTAGAAGATTTACAATTGAAGAAGCTGCAGCTTTTAAAGCAAGGAGTTGTACCTCTAACATCAACCCCATTAGCCATCTCTTCAGTACCAGGAAATGTAAGGCAAATCTTACCGTGGCAAAAAGTAAAACCTAACAACTCACCATGAAGCATAAACCTAAAAGCACAACCTAACTTAGTAATAGTAATCCTTAGCCTATTTAAAAATTCCAGATTCAAGATTTTTTTATTCCAACATATTTTTTACAAAACAATCTTAATAATAAAATGTATTACAAAGCATTTCTAAATTAACATAAATTAAATTTAAAAAACTAAAACTAATTTTAATCATAAACCGAATTAAATTTTCATGTTTATTGTCAAACCTTGTAATTATTCAAGCTTCACCTAAGGTATCTTTGACTTTTGATACAACTAGACATTCCATCCCCGATCCCCATGTTAAATTTGTCGCCATTTTTATCAATAGTGTCATAGTTGATGTGAGCCACCGACAGATTTTGCTGATATACCTAAATTACCTATTTTACTTGAATACACACAGTTTTTTATCAAGTCAAACTAATGGAATGACTTATTGTGAGCTATATCAAAAGTTATGACCCATAAGCTTGGTAAGCAACAATAATTAAGGTAGAACATTGAATTTTAGACATTACTGCAGCACATTCTGTGACTGGCTTACACAACTAACTTGCGTTCTTTTCAGTAAAAAAATTGGCAACAGCTGGTCCATATAGATGGAATGTCTACTTCAGTATCCAATAGTCAGTGACTATCCATAGTCAACATTCCTATTTAACCAAGTCCATCACATACTAACATATATTTCTCAAATTTAATCTACGATTGTGTTTCAGGCACCAAGCCCAGGATCTGAACACTTGTCTTCGGTCCAACGAGGAGCTGTTATACAAGCACAAGCGTCCTTCGGGTTTTTTGTCCCTCAAGACTCTCTATTCGGCAACGTGATTCTCCCAGTACTTCCACGTTACGACATCAAACCGTGAGAATGGCGAGGATGAAGTTGAAGAAGCTAGAGCAATATTTGCAACAGGTTGAAGTGTTTGAGGACCCCAAGATCCACCTTGAGCAGTATGCTACTAGTCCACACTTGGCGGCTTCTATGCTCTACACTATACAAACTAGCTTTGGAGACTTGGAGGGAAAGGTAAAATATGTGGTTTCTTAGATTCAATGGAACATCATAATTCTTTGTAACTGGTGTAATAAATCACAGTTACCGGTACCGTACATAATTTGTGGCAGAAATGTGTAATCTTGTATAAATTTTGAAGGCATCAAGAACCATTGTAATTGAGGATTGCTTAGGAAAAAAAGACTACTTTAAGTTTATACTTGAATAGTTATAGGAAATAAGCTATTTAACTGTATATCTCATAGTAAGGCCTACACCCTGGACGTTTTTTTTTGTTTTTGTTATGATATCCCGAGATGAGATGATGACTTCAATGAAATTATTTGGTAAAAACGCATAAACCGTTGTTTCATTTTTACGTACTCAAATGAGTACCTGAACCAGCATAATAGGACTGCGGGAACAGGTTTTACAGGGTAAAAATTAGTGTTTCTCATTTTTGACCCCAAATAACATTTTGAAACCTTCTAATTAATTTTGTAATCATTCCCCATTTAATATGTAACGTTTAGCCTACTTAAGTTTGCTACTACAGGGTAAAGAAAAAAGTGTATTCTGATCAAAATGTTAATAGTATAGTATGAAATTATTAATTTTCCAAATTTGATCAAAAAATATCCATAACCTAACAAATATTCATGTAATAACAGCATTCTACTTTTTATCCATAAGAATAATACAGGGATTTTAAATTTTAAAAATCTGGGAATTTTTTCCCTAACCATTAATCATACAACACTGTGTTTTCCCTTTTGTTTCTCTTGTCTACAACGTTGGCATTTGTTAGATGAGATGAGAGAGAGTGATATTCAAACACTTTTTGGGAAAAGCGGTCCAAACCCATAGGCCTATATGCTTTGTGGGCATTCTGGGAATCGAATCCATCCATCCCGCACCGAAGTCTGAGACGCTAACCACTAGGCTAGAAACACACCTTATGCAATGAAAAGGTTATTGCAAAATAATGAGAGTACAGTACTATAGTTGAATTGAGACACTATCAGAAAATGGTCCAGTGTGTTCCATCAATTACTTATGATTTATTGTATGCACCGATTTTATAACCATGCCAAACTAAAAGGACAATTTAATATATAGCATATTCTATGTCACATAAAAGATCTTGAACAGAAATTAAGAGTGAAAAATATAAACTGACTACAGTGGTAGCAAAACGGGAGTGCCGATGGAGACCTGTGGGGTCGCGTGCGTTTGAAGGGATTTGACCTGGTCTCCATCGGCACTCCCGTTTTGCTAACACTGTAGTGGTTATAGTGCTCCCACTAACAATCAAAAGGTTGCCGGATCGATCCTGAGAAAAGTCAGTAGCTTTTTGAAGGTTCAAAACTGCACCCAGCTGTTCCTGATCATTGGGCTTTAAATAAAGATCCTGACTAATGAAACAGCTGATATTAGTCAGTAACAAAGCTACACTGATCATCAGACTCTATTCTACACTCATCCTTTTCTCATATTTGGGTTAAAATACACACATAGGGGGGCATCTGCATCTCAATAATTGATAATTAATTGATATTTTTTTCATTAGTGAGCTCAATCCTCAAGTAGTTCCTGTTGTGGCTCATTCAACTATTTGTATGGAAAATTGACTACAGCTGGTCCTTATAGATGGGATGTCTACTCTAGTATCTAAAATGTTTGTTTAAGTTTAAACTAGCCTACCATATTTGATGTTTCAGGTAGTGGCAGACCTGGGTTGTGGCTGTGGTATGTTGACATTCGGCTCAGTTCTGCTCGGAGCCGGCTCATGCATCGGTTTCGACATTGACGATGAAGCTCTCGATATACTTAGCGTGAACCGCGAAGATCTCGGAGTGGACGATTGTGATAGTGTTTTGTGTGACGTGTGTAAACTCGATGATAGGTGGAACAATTTCTTTGACACTGTTGTCATGAACCCTCCCTTTGGAACGAGGCAGAAGGGTATTGACTTGGACTTTGTTAAGGTAGGACTTAGGCTGGCAAACACGGCTGTGTATTCACTTCATAAAACATCGACTAGAGAACACATTTTGAGCAAAGCTAAAGCGTGGGGGGTCGAGGCTAAGGTGGTAGCTGAACTAAAATTTGACTTGCCTCAGACTTATAAGTTTCACACCAAAAGTTCTGTTGATATAGAAGTGGACTTGATTAGGTTTTGGTTCAGCAAACCTAAACAGATGTGTGAGTTTATGAAGCAGTAGGGAATATTTTGTAATGTTTTAACCGTATCAATAAAGGTATAACTTTTTTTAAATACCTACCCATGTGAATTAATCAAAACCTTGATGTTTGGTGTTTAATTTCTTTAATAAACTATATCATACTTACTTTAGTAGAGAAATATCATTGGTGATTGAGTGTAAATATTTTTAAAATAATTATTACAAACACTTCCTACCATTATTAGTTTAACGAAACTGATATTCACAATGTTTTAAGATAAATTCAAGGAAGATTTCAGGTGCACAATGTGACACTGATTTGTGCTTTAATCTAGCATTACCTTTTGTTCTCTAAGAACAATCTAAGGGAATTAGATTCCAGACTTAGCAATCGTAATTGCTCACTTTTTCCAGTTCTAAAAAGTTTTTAGTTGAAGATAAGTTATAATCATTCTATTTGAAAACTAGAGATAGGATACTGAAACTGCGATACATAATTTTCACTTTTCATCTACAAAGATGCGAAGGTAACTTATTTGAAAATTAATATGTTTGAACTTTATTGTTGTTACCAAATATATTTACTTTTCTTCCTTCAAATAACCTGTTTGTGATACTAAAGCCTTAAATAAAGATTTTTGTTGAATGATAATATATTCTAAACATTATAAACACTCCTGTTTGTGCATTTATTAGGTGATTGTGTGGACTCCCATTTCTTTTAGGCTACAGTAAATACCTTTTGGGTATTTACCTACAAAATATTCATATTCACATAGAACATTTTATATTTCATTAATTCCTACTTACTTAGGATTCTCTACTTGAATGTAGCCTTTAGAAACCAAGTTGGGTTTTGGCTTTACCAACTCCACTTTCCACTACAAAAACACAAAATGCACAAAAAAAGCAAAGCAGCTTTGTTTTTTTTTGTTTTGGCACTTTCAGATTTGGTTAGTTGGCTGCCTCCACTTTCTTCAGTCTCCTGCTACTTCCATAGCCATGCCAAGATTTCTCAGGTCTTTCTTCACTTCCTCCTTCCAACACAGATTGTGTCTTCTTTCGTTCCACTTGGCCTTCAGATTCAAAAGTGTACACTATAACCACGGGGTTACACAGACAATTATTTACATAATATCATTTACAATAACATGATTGACAATGTTAAGGAAAAAAGAAACATGAATTCCATTTGTATAAAATATTCTATTTACAATAATTAGCACTAACATCAACTTAACACTAATTTAATCACATAAATAAAACTAATCCTATAATACAAAGCTTGAGACTGGAATGACTGGGGTACTTAATCAGCTAAGTCAGTATAGACATGTAAAATGACACTATGTGCATATGTACAAGGAGTGGCCTGATGCTACACTTGGTTAGGTCCCGGGGTCCCTAGCGGAGTCGCCCTCAATGATCGTAACTCCTCTTTTGTTACGTTGTTGGAACCCAAGCGCATGTCGATTGCGAAGATGGCCTGCAACAATTAAAAGATGAGTTAGCAGCTCTTTTGCAGTCATCGAGTGTGGAGTAAGAAAATTTAAAAGTTACTTGGTACCATGATTCAAGATTGGCGAACAACTTTTATGATAACCTCTCTTTAGCGTTCTCATCCCACTGTGAAGCACGGGTATAGCGACTAGTATTTTTATAAAGTAAATCTATGTAAACAAACACTGCTGTAATATTGTCTTGAGCTAGGTGTTCACTGTTCAGTTACTCAAGAAACAATATTTTGAATATAATACAATATGCATCTTGCATATTTGGGGAAGTAAAGTTTTTGTATGCTATAGTACCTTCTACAAGACAAAGTTTATAGTCAAAGCCATTCTACATGACATTTATTCCTAGTAAAAACGTTGTATACAATAATAGATAGTAGTCCATTTACCGTACTGGTACTCGATAAAGTTTATTTTAACACACATCATTGTTGGAAAAAGCGGTAGCGTTAGTAACGTCTAAAATTAGCTCTCAGATAAAATACCAACCATGAAAAGTGCCCAGATGGAGCCTATGGCGATGCCAGCGAGTACGTCAGTCGCGTGGTGCATGTTGTCCATGACTCTAGACAGGGCCGTGTACCAGGCCAACATCAGCAGCACAAACTGACTTAGGAGTCGGGACAGTCGAGCTCTCCTCCAGTACAGTCTGTGGTGGAGATACACCTGAAAGTAAAACTTATTAGAACTCTATTTAATGGAAGCTTTCAATACATGGTCTTGGCTAAAGAAGCAACCGTTCTTCGTCACATTCAGGCCAAGGCCTTCAGTCGAACCTGCAGTTATGATGGGCAAGTCCGCAGTTTACCAGACTACTTTAGCTGCTCAGGTGTTCCCAACGACGCAGAAAACACATTCTTCTGCTGTCCAGGTTGGGATATGCTCCGCCTGGAGGACACTAGCTAAAAGAAAGACCTAGATAACATTGCAGTTTAGATATAAATGTGTAATAAGAAGCCAGACAAGCGTCTGAAGAATACACAAGGTTTTTAGTGGGTAGTCTATAGGTCTTAAATCCATATGAGTTCTCACAGAGGAGTAAGGTACAGAGGAAATTTCCTTATGGATGGACCATGCGTTTTCAGCTCTAGTAGGTTATGCAGGAAATATACTTGTAACGAACAAGGAAGGCCCCTAGCAACGATTACTGTGTGGAAAATTAAATTCCTCTCACACCATCTACCTTGAGCGTTGTATAGTACATGAGGGGGGGGGGGCTGTGTTGTACGTTTCCCTAACCACCAGCGTCTAGTGCTTGGGTGTTTTCTTTGTGAGTCTCGCACAACACCTTGAGTGTAAACACATTTCCCTAAAAAGTATATACAAATTGTTTTGGTCAGTCTAAAAGCTGGAATTATTATTTCATAAGTTGAACAATATTGGCACATATACAGTATAGGCATACTTATTTATCTATACCATCAACACACTTTATATAAGTAATGTAGATGCAACAATTAATAAAATGTCCTTCATTGATTGATATGAATCTAATATGAGTGAGGTGCCGTGAATAATATGATTTATATATCTACAAGTTCCAATTATTATTGTGTCATTTAATCGGTTATGTACTGACAATATATACATTCTGTTCGTTTTACATACTAGATAGCTGACAATTCATAGTCATAATATTTCAATCAAACTTTGTATTGTGGATTTCCCTGGACAAAGTTTTAAGCATACACTTGTGGTCGGGTCGTATCCTATGTTTGTTTGTATTTGTGCTGTTTGCGTTTACACATCATCCGTCCTGGTAAAATGGCATGAAACTAAACAAAAAGATCGGTCAATACAGTCCAACTGTTTTCGGGCCAGTGACGTAATTTGTTTATGTTTATGATCCATACATTTTCTTTTCTAATATCACTGCAATCAATTGGTCGAAGCAATTTCTTTACTGGTACTTATTTTAATACTTTTCATTGACTTGGTATTTTCTGACGCTTATTTAAAATAAATTAACACATTTATTCGAACAAATATGTCAACAATAGATCCCATGCAAGTAATGAACTATGGTGAGGCCGCTATTTCAGTTCAGAACACACATAATTACTAGTTTCTAATTCTGGTAAATAATAATTGAATCTCAATTGAGTGATTAAGTATTTTCAAAATAACACTTTAAGAAAGCTGGCTTTAGACTTATTGAGTTATTTGCGATATCCCCCGCCTGTTATTGCGATGGCGTGCTAAGTTATTGAACAGCTGTTGAAGCAGACAGCTGTTCAGTTCACAGAGTTATTGCTTGTCCCAGGTCTGGAAAATGTTTCCGGCTCTGTAGCATAGCATCTTGACACGGCTGTACAAAATCATATGTTCAAATCGGAGGTTAGAGTTAAACCCTAACACATACTAAATCAAAATAATAATTTTAATAATCTTGACGAAATTCTTGAGTTCATTGACTCACCAAATCAGTTATCACCTCCAATAAAGCCCTTTACTCCCTCAGAAGTCTGTAAACTTGTAAACAAATTAAAACTGTTTAAAGCCCCTGGATACGACTTAATCACGGGAAAAGTAATGAAAGAGCTTCCTAAAAAAGCATTCATATACCTGACACTCATTTTTAATTCAATTATACGGACTGAGTATTTCCCGTCACAATGGAAAGTTTCAGAAATAATCATGATAGCAAAGCCAGGAAAACCACCCCAACAAGCAAGTTCATATCGACCTATCAGTCTACTTCCAATAACATCCAAATTGTTTGAGAGGCTCTTCTTGAATTGTCTACTTGAAGAAGTAGAGGACAGAAACTTGATTCCAAATCATCAGTTTGGGTTTCGACGGGAGCATTCCACAGTTGAACAAGTACATAGATTGGTTAATACAATTAAAGAAGACCTTGAGAAAAAGAACTATTGTACAGCTGTCTTTATCGATGTAAGTCAAGCCTTTGACAAAGTTTGGCACACAGGCCTACTTTATAAACTCAAACTGAATCTTCCTCATACATTTTATATGACAATTAAATCATACCTAACCGACAGATATTTCAGAGTTAAATTTGGAGATAGCATTACAAAATTGTACCCAATTCAAGCTGGCGTTCCCCAAGGAAGTGTTCTCGGACCTGTACTATATACTCTGTTTACAGCCGATCTACCTGAAAATGTGAATACTTCTGTGGCCACTTTTGCTGACGATACAGCTATTTTAGCGTCCCATCCTGATCCAGTGGTAGCTTCACTTAATCTTCAAAATTCCCTAGATGACTTAGAAGCATGGTTGCAAACATGGAAAATAAAAGTGAATGAGAGCAAATCTACTCATGTGACCTTCACTACCAGATTAGGTACTTGTCCTCCTGTAACCTTAAATAATGTCCAAATTCCGCAATCCCACGATGTGAAATATCTCGGCATGATGATTGACAAAAGATTAACCTGGAAAACCCATATCTGGAATAAAAGAATGTACCTAAATTTAAAATTTAAAAATCTTTCCTGGCTCCTAAATAGTAAATCAAAATTGACCATTGCAAATAAATTATTACTATACAAAGTAATACTGAAGCCAATTTGGACTTATGGAATCCAACTGTGGGGAACGTCCAGTATGTCGAA